TATTATTTGCTTACTTAACTCCAAACTCCACCACCGCCACCTCCTCTATATAAGCTCCTAGAGCTCCCTTATTTTAGTATTTAGTTGATGTAGAACTTCTAGACTATGCTATACTTATTTACTTTTATAATATCACTCACACATTCACATACACACAGAGTCTTGATTAATTAAAAAAATGCCTATATTTTAATCTCCATTAACTTGATGCTAAAAAAGATTTTTATAGATTTAATTAAATTCTAGGGATAAAAATAGATGTTACATGTTTTACTTAATGATATCCCCTACCTCAGCCACAAGAGTCAATGGAAAAACTCTTTATATCTAACAGATAAATTTATAGAAGTCTACAAATAGAAGACTATCAAATGAAATATAAGAGACATAAAAGAATAGAAAAAACAAGTGAAAAGTGTTAGATATGATTAGTTTTGATGATGTCAAATAATAGAGCAAAAGTTAACATAAATTATTTATCTCATATTTTGACTAACTATCATACTTAATATCTTGTGTAGTTTCTCAAGAAAAGAAAAGAGTTATTATGTTGCACTTTGAGTTATGGAGAATGATCAAGAGGAAGAAGAAGAAGAGAGATTGAGAAAAGAAGAACTTGCAAGATCAAATGAAAATATCAAGATTCAAGTTCATAGATTTGATGTTAAATGTTGCTATACTCAATCAGAAGTTTGGATGGCTCAGTCGGAAGCTAAAATATACAACCGGAAATTATACCATCATATATTGAGTCACCCTTCATATAAACATGGAAAATAAGTTTCAGAGGTGATTTTCATAGGCAATTATCGATCACTTGATCGATCATCCATTTATCGATCAAGTTATCGATAAAATACATCCTCTGTTATGCTCTGTTCTTCGTTCAGCTCTGACATAGGTTCGGTATTTCTTCAATATCTCTCAAATCACAAATCCGTTTGAGGTGAAACTTGATTCCTATGAAACTAGACTCAGAACACGGTTCATGGACACCAAATTCACCTTCAAAGAGTTTCATATGAGAGAGATATGTTGTTCGAAAGATTGCAGTAAGGATTAACGCCTTTATTCCGACCTTTAGTCATTGTGATGAAGATAACTTTGCAACCACAACGAATTTTGGGGTGATTCTTGTTGCATTAGAAAGTAGACTCAAAGAGCTTTCTGGGGATAGGTCATTTGCAAAATTTGGAGTTGAATTGGAAGATTTATGATCACCCAAAGTTGACCTTCGTTTTGCTGGAATCAGACTTCGAATTTATTGAGGCAAAGACCAGAAGTTCTACACTGAACGATTAAGTTCTCAAGCAACATGCTACTACTCAAACATGTTATTGAGTAAAAGCTCTAGAAGAGATGAAGAAATGAAAAGCCATTATCATATGTTACTCGAGCCTGATCAAGCGACTACATACTCATCGAGTTACTGGTACTATCTCCTCAATTCTTCTCCTTTATCTCAGTAACATGTTGGATAAATGATTTTTGGATAACGTTATAGATGAATATGTTTATCGATCACTTGATCGATAACTGTCAAGTTTTATCGATCACGTGATAGATAATTTAGTCTGCTCAATAACTTGCTAGATTGATCGATCAACTAATCGATCATTGGTATAGTTGCTTAATATAAGATGTTGCAGGAAATAATCGATCACTTAATCGATCAGACCTTTATCGATAACTTGTTCGAATATTACATGTCTTCTTACTCGATATAGTGCTCTGTCAAAACCATTCGTTCAAAATCTTTTATCGATCAATTGATCGATCAAACATTTATCGATCAAATGATCGATTATTATCTTCACTGCATTAACTTATGTTGAATCATTTTTTCGATCACCTCATCGATCATTGATTTATCGATAATATGATCGATCATTGCCTTAAATGTCTACCCTGTTTTCACATAACGTGATCGATAATCAGTTTCTTTGAATTACAGGATTAAATCTCTTGTTTACTTTATCGATAACTTTATCGATCATTAATCGATCACTTATTCGATCAACCTACATAGCATGTGTTTTCTCCGAATATACTTTTGCTATTGTTTATCGATAAGTTATCTATTATTTGTTTATCGATATGTGTTCGGAATCTTACTTATTCTATTCTATAACACTTGTTTATCGATAACCTTATCCATCATCCATTTATCGATAATGTGTTCGATCATCAATGACTGAAGTTTCATTTCTGTAACACTGGATTATCGATAATCTGTTCGATCAACAAGTGTTCGATCACTTGTTCGATCATGGAACGTTTTCCGTTTAAACATCAGTCGACTATGATGATTCTTAAAATCAATGATCTATTTTCTTTAAAGCTTTTCTCAGCCTTCTTTTTACACATAACTCTCTATTAAAAGGACGAAGGCAAACATAACTTGAAAAGGTTTATTCTTGCATAAATCATTTTTGGGTCACTGTATTCATGCTTCATCATTTATCGATCATTTGTTCGATCATCATATGATCCATAATCTATTCGATAATTGCATCTATATCTGCTATATCTTTTCTTCATGTAATTAATCGATAATATAATCGATCAAAGCTTTATCGATCAAGAATCGATCAAGTAAGTTCATCTTACTTTCTGAATATCTGATGATTGATTCCATGTTTTCCAACTTATTGTTTCTATGATTATCAGATACTTATCACTTGATCTGAGAAGATTATTTCAGATAAAGAGCCACAACGAATTTATGATGTGAAGAATCGACGTTCGTCAGAAGCTTCCAACGGCTAGTTTCAACGGTCATATTCTTCAAGCCAAACGGGAAGAAAAGCTCAACGGTCAACTACCCAACATCATCTATAAATAGAAGAGCATTCAAAACAAGAAAAGATAGAAGAGTCCGAGCTTACAACATCAAATGCTAAAATGCCGAATCAACATATTCTCATTTAGAGCTCCGAGAAGAAAACTCCCTGTCTCTGTACTTCATAGACTAAAACTTATGTATTCGTAAGATAGAGAGGAGAGTTTCCCAGACGTGCTTAAGATTCATCTATCACTTCTTTGAGAGAAGAAATATTCAATCTTCATTATCATTATAGATTGTATCCTTACGGTGAGTAAGGGGGAGTATTACCTCAGTGAGAGGTTGTTGTTGAATTAGACTGATTAGTCTAAGATTGTAAGTGGCGACACAAGTGCCCGGATCAAACTTGTGGTTGTAGTGGTTCTCAAGTACCCGTGTTAAACTTGAGGGAGATAGTCGATTGAAAATCTCAGGGGGAGCCTGGGGACTGGACGTAGGTCAGTGAGGACCGAACCAGGATAAATCATTGTTTGCATCTTCTTCCCTTACCTCTTTATATTTCCAGCTAAACCATATTACTACTGTGATTATGCTTATCTCGATTCATTGTTTTTTATACTCAGAATTTCTTATGAATTTCATTACATTGCGAAAAGATTTTTAATTTTAATCAACACCCAATTCACCCCCCTCTTGGGTGTTCATTCCATTCTAACAAAAAGGAGATTATGAGCTATAATAATCCTTTCAATATTCTCTAACAAAATTATTGACTTTAGTAATTAGCATTTACTCTATCGAGATAGAAAAATACTCAATTGTTATAAATCTCAATTTATTACTTAGAATCATTAGGTTTTAAGTGGGAATACACTCTTATGTGTAGTAAAAGGGGTGATTACCTTAGGAGTTGAGTTATTGCTTCTAGGATCAAGGTAGTTATTATACTCACTAGTACAAAAATACCAATATAACTACTATTTTTGGTGTTAGTTATATAAGAAACAGAAGTTTGGATTATTAAATACTTTTCGCTTTTGGTCTCCCTAGACCCAAAGCCATAAGGGTACTTATGGCTTCTGTTCAATTTTGAATAGAAGCCATAAGTATTCAAAATAATTTTATTTTATTTTGATAAAATAATAGCATTTCATATAATAGCATTATGGAATAAACACAATATTACTTTAATTATATTTTTATTTAATTCATGCCGCTAAAAATTTTAAATTTTTTTGAATTTAAAAATTTAGTTTTGATTGGTCTTTTAATTCTTTTCTTTTCACAAAGTGAAAATTTTTATGAGAAATTTTCTTTTATAACTTATTAATTAAAAGCTTGATTTTTTTAAATTAAAAAATATGACCTATAGCATTATGGACCAGCCACCGTAGCATAGCCATAGCTACGACGTCAGGCCTAAGTTGGGGCCTATCACCATAGGTATTGAATTTTCACCATAAGACTCTTATTAACAATTTAACATTTTAGCATCAAGCGTGCCCTAGCTCTACCCCCTTCTCGCTATCATGCTCCGTTGTCCATTCTTCTTGTTTTGAGTTTGTGGGTGGTCTCTATTAGCTGTCTCCAGAATCGTCTTCCCTCATTCTCACCATCCTCTTGTTCTGTCTTCTAGTTGGTTCCTGTGTCTCATTGGAATCTTCTTTCGTCAACCTTGCCTTCCTCTTATTCTATCTTGGAGCTAATTCATGGGTTTCCCGTTAGGTCTCCCCGGAATCCTCTTCCCTCAATCTCTCCTCCCTCTTACCTTCGTATTGTTCCATTTTCGAGCTGGTCCCTGGGTCTCGCCTTCTTCTTCTTCTCTCTCTTCCTTATTGACAGCAATTGGTTTCAAGCTTCAGTCCTATAAGTTTTTTGCTTTTGCTAATCATTTTGGATTCTTGTTGTAACTTAAAATAGTTTATTAGTTGAGGAATATAGATTGTTCTGTTGAAGTTTGTTTCTTATTTTTGTTAAAATCTTGTGTTGAAGTGTGGCAAGTCACTACAATGTTTTTTGCCTCTGGTACCAATTAATTTAACAAATAATATTTTTTCAAATGCAATTATTTAAGGAAATGGAAATATGATGCAAAAATTGGGTTGTTGCAGTGAAAAAATATATATGTAACTGTTTGTTGTTGTTTGCATAGATGACAGGGAAGTTGTGTGGGTGAGGTTTGAATAGGAAGTTCTATATTTAAAGTTGAAAAAGAGCAATATTTATGATTGAATTAATGATTAATTATATTAGAGCATCAAATTAAAGTGATGAAGACTAATGTAATTGTGGGTGAGTTGATAAGCCTGCAATGAATTAAGAAAGCCATTGATCAAGATGAGTACCCACAAATCATGGTAACTCTGTCCTTCCTCTCAATGAGCATTTAGATTTTAGAGAATGAAATGACAACAACATCACATGCTATTAATTTTTTTAAATTAAATCATTGATGATGATGCGATTTTATTGATTGTTTCTTCTTGTTAAGTTTCCTTCCTTGACTTGAAGCCTATCAAGCTGAGCATTGAGGAGCAACCTTGGTGGCTATGACACATTATGTTTCTTCTTATTAGGTTTCTTTCCTTGACTTAAAGCATGTATTATTAACTTTTTCTTCTCATTAAGTTTCCTTCCTTGACTTGTAGATCCAATTGTAAACATTTTCTTTTGCTTATGTGATCTTTTGTAAATCATTATAGGCTAGTAATTTGTGTCTGATTATGTAAATATGCTGCTTAAGTTGGATTTTCCCTTTTAGTGTCCTCTTTTTCATATATGATTCTGTTATCGGTTAGGTTAAATTAATACTTTGCTTCTTATGATAAATCTGTTTGATTCCTTTCAAGAGTTAATGTGCATATTATCTATCTGATATACTGAGATAATCAATAATTGCAACCTAAGAATTACTATATTACTTTATACCAGTCGACAGCAACTCTTGATTTGATATTACATTGAATATTGCTAGTTCTTGAACTATCACATAATAGTATTCAAGCTTGCTTCTAATCTTATCATTAATTAATGATCTTTGCAATAAAAAGGGGAGCTCATTCTCATTATTCTAATGATTTGCTTCAAATCTTATCATTAATTAATGATCTTTGGGAAAAAAAAATTGGAAGCCTATTTTCATTATCGTAATGGTTTGCTTCAAATCTTATTTTCCTTTTCTATGAAGTTGAAGGATCTACTACTACAAAACTTGAGAAATCTGCTGGCAAGTTGAGAAGTCTTTGAAAAGGAGGAGGAAGAATCAATATAGGGGAATTCGCCAATGTCCATATGGTAAGCATTAAATAAAGGTTGGTTTTAGGCTTTACTTGTTTTGTTAGAGGAAATTTAGTAGAATTTGCTTTCTAGTTGAGAGCTCTATGAATACTTGAAGGATCAAACAAGAGCATTGATATTCCTTTTCCTTTTTTATTGTTGTTAATACTATTGATACTGTGTCAACTTTATATTAATACTTGGTGTTTTTCCTCTCTTTTTAGTAACAATTAAGAAAAGCTTCATTGTCAACAGATGATGCATTTGCCTTTTTGAAAGGTAACAACTGTGATGATTTTGGGACATTTTTAGTTTCTTTGATGCACTTTGTTAGGTACTTTATTATCTTTTGATAAATGAATTTGTAATATTCTTCAGGTTGAAAAAGAACAAAAATGTAGTATACTAATATTCTCATCCGATATTGCAGGCGAAGTTGATTGGTGTGCCTCGTAGATTATGCTTCCAAGGGTTAAAGGATCTCTAGGCTGAAGCAGTGCTCTTCCCCCATAAAGGGAAGAAAAGATTGTGGCCAGATGACTATTCTCTTCAGTATATGGCGTTTTGTTAACCATTTATTCGGTTTATTTGGTTTGACTGTACTATGTACTTGATTGTATTTAATATTATATAAAGCTGGTTGTATATAATAGTAGCTTCTTGAGTGAGAGGTTAATATTTAATGTTTTTTTTGGGAAAAAAAGCCACCTACGGCTCTTGTTATAACCATAACAGAAGCCATAAGTGGGTACCTATGGCTTTAGTTGCTTTTGAAATAGTCATCATAAGTGCTAAAACATACGGCTTCTGTTCTTTCATAATAGAAGCCCTCTGATATGTTTTGCTACTATTGTTTCCACTACATTGTATATACAGTAGCAAAAAGCTATTTTCAATAGAAGTCAAATGTGTTATTTTGTACTAGTGACTGTGGCATTCAGAGTCCATTAAATCTTAGAAATATAGTGAAATTCTCAGGTCGATCCTAAGGACTGGATGCAAATCAGCGATGGTTGAACTATTATAAATCTTTGTGTGTATTTTTCTCCTACTCTTTACTCAAATGATAGATGATATCTTTTCCACTCTATTCTGGTTATATTATCTAAGTTTGATTTTATTATTTGAAATTTTTTATAACATCTAATTCACTTCCCCTTGGGTAACACTAATATTTGGTGTCAACAAGATTCAAAAAATTGAACCAAGCACTAAATCAATCGTGGTAGTAGGCATAGTTTTGTAAACCTGACTGGACCAGATGGTTAGAACAGTTTGGCCATCAGCCATCCAACATAGCGGTTTAGTTTGTGCATTTGGATCGTCTAAAGGGTTGATGGGGATTGAGTTGCGCATAATCGGCAATTGAGCCGAAACCTGGAATGGGTTTATGAGCACTGAACAACTCAAATTTTTCCTTAATTTACTGTGTTATTTTCATGTTTAAAACCTCGAGTAAAGAAGAAAAAGATGGAAGAGGAACTAAAAAGAATGGAGAAGGAGAAGACTGGCACCGATTTGGAGACTTTTGTTCTCCATGGCTGAATATCATTGCATCACACTGAAGAGTTTTCTCCTCCCCAATGTTTCTGATTTTGGATCTCCAACAGTGCAGAAAAATACAGGTAGGCAAAAAGTAGATGATGAAACATCATGATTAAAAAACAATAAAACAAAGAAAAAGTAACATGGAAATAATGGTCAAAATTATTCATATTCAAATATCAACGGTTCTTTTCACCAAAAAAAAAAATATCAACGGTTCATGTTGCCTTTTGTTTCACTCTTTAACGAATCATGACCCAAGCATATGCGTTTCACTTTTCCCCACAAATTTGACTTTTTCCTACTTCCAATAAAAGTACCATTAAAATCCAATAGTTATTAGTAGTAGTTTTCTTTTGACCCATAGGCATTAGTTGGAGACTCGAGTAATTCTTATCTAGTTATCCTGATTCAAGTTATATATTTAAAAAAACATTTTTAAGTCATCAATATGTATATATATAATTTCTATGACCAATATATTAAATTTTTTTAATTCTTCTTTCTAATTATTATTCATGTATTTATTGTATTTATATCATTCATATATAATATTAATTTTAAGTTAATTATTATATTACCGGTCCAATCGAACGGTTTAACTAATATAACCATTTGAATCGTGACCTACTAACTTGTTCGGTTTAATGTTCGGTCTGGCTTTTAAAACATTGATAGTAGGTCAAGGGTTAGTGGGTTAGATTGAAGTCAACTCGGAGTTAGACTGGTCATAACTAAACTAATATAATTTAATTAGAAATATTTATATTTAACTATAAATATTTTATTAGATTTAAATTATGCTTCCAAGGGCCTTTTAAGTAAAAGTGAGTCTACTGAGGCTCTAATTAATGGCGTGTGCTTGTTTGTCAATTCATTTTTTTTTTGCTTTACTCGATAGTGTTGAATCTTGGTAGTTTTTAGAAGGTAAACTTTACAAGTTAGATTTGATAGAAGTTGTTAATCTAAATATAAAAGTATTACTAATGAAATGTGTGTAAACCATGGAGTAATTATGTAATGCCAACAGATGATATAAAGAGAGTGGGAAGTGAAACTCCAACATGTGCAACACAATATGCAAACAAGGCAATGGATTTTCTGGCCAAGTATGGTATTAACACTCTGCCAAGATTTAATCTAGTATCTCAAGCTCCGCAACTACTTTATGATATTACTAGAAGGGAATCTTCTTTATAATAGTTGCATATGCTAGTTCTTTTGGTTTCATCTTTCATAAAAACAAATAGGTATCTTAAATGCATAAACAAGATAGTTATCTATAGCTTTAGCCCAATTAAAATTTTTGCTTGCTATTTGATTTTGGAGTCATGCTATTAATAAAGTGATAAAACAAGTAATGAAAGAAATATTATTAAAATACAAGGCACACTTGAAAACATGAAATCCCTAACTTTAAATAACAATACATTAAAGTCTAACTTCAAACTTGTTAAAATACAAGACACACTTTGTTAGATTTAAGGTTTTGATAATAACAACTTAGGGAATCTGTGTTTTAGTAAGTTGATTGATCACCTGATTGATCAAGGGTTTATCGATAACCTGATAGATAAAGTTCCTGTGTTAACAAGAGACTTAGCAGAAATGTTAATCGATAACCTGATAGAAAAATCAAATATGCATGTGTTGATCAATCAATTAATCAATCATCGTTAACACTGTTTTGTATAGAAGTTTGCAGAAAATTATTGATCAATTAATCGATAATCTAGTGATCGAACAATAAACAGATAATGGGATACAAGTGTTAGTAAGTGCTTATCGATCACTTGATCGATAAATAAGTTATCGATGAGAAGACAGATAAATGGTAAAGCTTCCTACTCATCGTATTTTGATCTAATCACTATTTATCGATCACTTTATCGATCATAATTTTATTCATAACATATTTGATCATTAATATCTCACCTGTTTATTGATATTTTTTTCTGGTTAAGTACTTTTGAAAATTACTTTATTGATCACTTGATCGATCCACCATTTATCGATCAAATGATCAATCATTACCTTTTCATTGATTTAAACTATTTAAGTCTTTCTTCGGTCACTTGATCGATCATCAATTTATCGATAAAATGATCAATCATCCAATCTTTTGAATATTCTGTTTTCACATAACGTGATCGATCAATCATTTCCTGGCACTTTTGAACTGAGTTTCTTGACTGCATTTTTTATTGATCATTCGATCGATCAAACTTTAATAGATCACTTACTCGATCATCTTAAGATTTGTGCTCTTTATGAAAATCTTTGTTAAACTTTGTTTTATCAATCAAGTTTTCTGTCATCCCTTTATCGATAAAGTTTTTGATCAATGTACCTTGAAAGTCAAATTCACTCTTTCTTATCTTTATCGATAAATTGATCGATCCAACACTTATCGATCAATTATTCGATCAATGATCCAACTCTTTCAGTACCAGAAGCTACAGTGAGATCTAAGAATCTTCTTAATATTTCTCTTCAAGCTTTTCTTAGCCTTGCTGATTAACTTAATACTCTATTTTAAGGGTTTCAAAATCATAGTTGACCTTGAGTCTTTTCACTACATAATCTTTGTGAAGTCATTCTTTTCATTTATCGATCATTTGTTCGATCATGAGTTAATTCATAATTTGATTGATAAATATAGCTATATATTTCAAAATCCATCATCTTAATTAATCGATAACATAATTGATAAACCAGTTATCGAACATGTCCTCAATCAAGTTTGATCAGTTTATAATTATATTGGATCTGATGTTTGATTGATTTGCCTCTATCCTATCATAAGAATATTACTATCATTTTATCAGTTATCTTCCTGAATTTCATTCTGAAGGAAAAACTTATTAGGTTGAAGTATTGTTACATATTACAAAGAAAGTTCAACAGTTATCCAACGGTTATTCAGTAGCCTGTAACCTACCATGTCAGAAGCATTAAATGGCAAACACCGTTACAACTGAGAAAACACGAAACCGAACTCTCAACGGCTAGAAGCTCTTCTGTCTAATGGTTATTAAACTTTCTCAACTATAAAAGCCATGAAGAAGCATTGAATGCAAATGATTGAATACACAAGCTACCTTTTGTAAAAATCTTACTGTTGTATTCAATATTCTATTTTTGTCTTTACTAAGCTTTAGTGCTTCTTATTTATTTACTCTATGAGAGATACTAATATATCATCTTTAATCACTTTTTGAGTGTAATTCAAGAGTGTGGACTCTTGAGTGGGTTTGTAACCTTAGGAGTAGTAAGGGGGAGTGATTGAGAAGATCAATTGCTGTCCTGAGGCACCAAGAGCCTGATTAATCTTGGATCATAGTGGAAATGTTAAAGGTGTTCTGAGAACTGGACGTAAGTCAAGTGGTTAAAACCGAACCAGTATAAATCCGGTGTCTTTGATCTACGGTGAAATCTTTCTAACTCTAAAGTTCTCTGTTTTATTAATATCACTGTTTCAATTCGCTTAAATTTTTACAACTCACCCAATTCACCCCCTCTTGGGTAAACTGCCACTAACATACTTGAAAACATCAAATCTAAAACTTCAAATAAGAATACATCAAAGTCCAACTTCAAACTTAATAAAATTCAACGCGCATTTGAAACAAAGCAGTAATTTAAACCAACATTATCACCATATTGTATTAGCCTATTTTGATACCCTATCCCCATCTCATTTGTTATAGCATCTCTAATAAGCTGTCCCTAGGCAACCTTTTCATTGTCACCAAGCCGCTTATGATTATTATTAATAGAATTATATTGAGTAGCAAGCTCACGATCTACTTCTACTATGAGATCTTCACTAGAATCTATACTTATTAAGTAGTTATGGAAAATACAACATGCTCCAATGATAAGGCTTTGGGCTTTTACTTTATAAGTAGGCTGTAATGAATTAGATAAGATGTCAAATCTTGTTTTTAGAACACTAAAAGCTCTTTCAATTGAATTATGTAATGATGTATGCTGCAAATTGAGCAATTTTTTATAATTTTGGGGCGAATTTCTTCCTAAATAATTTTCAAATGACAACGGACATTTTTATAAGGTGTAATAAGCCCATTAGTTAGCATGAAGCTAGCATCCACAAGGTAGTATCTACCTTCAAGAATTATGAGTTTATCTCCTCATGTCAAGCGCATTTCTCATAATTATAGAATCAGATGTTGTACCTTACCATCACCAAAAAAAAAAAAAACAGCAATTTGTTGCGGTCAAAATCAATGATTTGTAGTGGTTAAAACCGCTACAAAAGCCAATTGTAGCGGTTTGAGTAATCGCTACAAAACCCATCAAAGCAAACGGTTTTATAGCAGTTTATCAAAACTA